TTTAGTATAAATATTGTTAACTTAACTAAGGAGAAAAGTAGGAATGGATCCAATATTCACTCTATATTAATCTGAGAATAAACGAGGGCTATAAATAGCCATTACATAAGCTTTGAACTAACATGATCTCCACTAACAATGTGGCAGTAAATGTTGCTAAAAGAAAGGAAATACTTGGCTGAGAATAAATGAAATAACAGCCATAACAACATGCATGCTTTACGTCCTAAAAATGAGGTAACTAACTAAAGACTTATTCGAATATTAATGCATGGACTTTTATGTAATTTCAAGCTTGATCATATTCAACACCTCCCCTTGCTCCAAGCTTGTACATACCTATCTTCTCCATGAAATATTGATGTTTTGCTTGATTCAGGGCTTTAGTGAATAGGTCAGCACTTTGAAGATTGGTTCCACAAAATTTCAAACTGATTTTTTCCTCAGCTACCAACTACCTAATGAAGTGGTGTTGAACCTCTATATGCTTTGTTCTTGCATGAAATGCAGGATTCTTAGCCATTGCTATTGCAGACTTGTTATCACACCACACTTCAGTTGCACTTATCTGTTCACAGCCCAAATCCTTAAGCAGCTTTCTCAACCACATAGCCTGCCTTGCTGCAGCACCTGCAGCTACATATTCAGCTTCAGATGATGAAAGAGCTACAATTTCTTGTTTCTTGGAACTCCAAGTTACTGCCCCGGACCCAAGACTGAACACAGAACCTGATGTGCTTTTCCTATCATCTAAGCATCCTGCCCAATCACTGTCAGTATGACCTGTCAGCTTGAAGGATTTCACACTCTCATAGAGTAACCCAGCCTCACTTGATCCTGCAACATACTTGAGTATCCTTCTTGCTGCACCCATATGCTGCTTAGTTGGAGAATGCATATATCTTGAAACTACACTCACACTATAGGCTAGGTCAGGCCTAGTGTGTGTGAGATAGTTCAGACCCCCAACCAGACTCCTGAAGCACTTCTCATCAGCTTTCTCAGTTCCATCTTCTCTCTGAAGCTTCTCATTTGTATTCATGGGAGTTTTCATTGCTTGAGACTTCTTCACATGGAATTTCTTAAGCAAATCTTCTGCATATTTCTTTTGACATAAGAAAATTCCATCATCACCATGCTTTACTTCCAAACCAAGGAAGTATTGTAACATCCCAAGATCTGTCATCTCAAACTGATTCATCATAGCAACTTTGAACTCATTAAGCATCTGGTGAGAAGAGCTAAAGTAAATAATATCATCTACATAAAGACAGACAATGATAAACTCATGCTCACCCTTCTTTTTTTTACATAAAGAGTTGGTTCATTCTCACTTCTTTCAAAGTTATTTTGAAGAAAGAATGAATCAATCTTACTGTACCATGCACGAGGTGCCTGCTTCAGCCCATATAGGGCTTTGTTTAGCCTGTACACCTTGTCTTTCTTGCCCTCCTTTATGAATCCAAGAGGTTGTTCAACAAAGACCTCTTCCTGCAAGTTCCCATTCAGAAAAGCTGATTTTACATCAAGTTGAAATACCTTTAACTTCCATTGGGATGCAAGAGCTAAGACAATTCTAACAGTTTCCATCCTTGCAACAGGTGAGAAGGTTTCCTCAAAGTCTATGTCCTCCTCCTGTGCATAACCTTTTCCCACTAACCTCGCCTTGTGTTTTTGGATACTCCCATCAGTGTTGAACTTAGTTCTGAACACCCATTTTAAGCCAATGATATTCTTCCCTTCAGGAGGATCAACTAACTCCCATGTTGAGTTCTTTTCAATTGATTTGATCTCTTCATTCATGGCAGCTTGCCATTCTTCCCTTGATTTGGCTTCTTCAAAGTGTGTTGGATCAGTTGTCATCAAGGCAAAGTCACAGTTTTCATATAGGTCAGCTAAAGACCTATACCTTCTTGGGGCTGAGTCTTCTGATGAGCTTGATGGTGGGGTTGATTGTGGTGATGAACTCTGACTTGATGATGATGGTGTTGAAGGAGGACTAGGGGAGTGAACATCAACTATCTCTTCCTCAGAACCATCAAACTCTACTGAGTTTTCCTGACCAACACTGCTTACAACTTTTCCTTTCCAATCCCAACCTGAACTCTCATCAAACACCACATTTCTACTAACAATTATTTTGTTAGTAATAGGATTATACAGTCTGTAGGCTTTAGATTGAGGTGCATAGCCAACTAGAACACGTTTGACAGATTTATCATCTAGTTTGGACCTCAAATCTACCAAAGCATAGGCTATACATCCAAAGATTCTCAAGTGACTTACAGAAGGTTTCTTACCACGCCAGGCCTCAAATGGAGTCATGTTCATTACTGCTTTGGTAGGTGAGACATTCAGGATGTATACAGCTGTGGCTACAGCTTCACACCAGAACTTAGTTGGAACACCTCTAGCTTTGAGCATGCTTCTTGCCATTTCAACCACTGTCCTGTTCTTTCTCTCTGCCACTCCATTCTGCTCAGGAGTATAGGGTGCTGTCAACTCTCTCCTTATTCCTTCCTCATCACAGAACTTAAGAAATTCATTTGACATGAATTCCCCACCTCTATCTGTTCTCAGGGCTTTTACATATAACCCAGACTGTTTTTCAACCATAGCTTTGAAACTCTTAAAGTGATCAATTGCTTCAGATTTAGCTTTAAGAAAGTATACCCAGCTCATTCTACTAAAATCATCAGTGATAAGCAAGAAATACTTACTTCCTCCAAGAGAAACTGTCTACATTGGACCACATAGATCTGCATGTAGAAGTTCAAGGCATTGGCTTGCTCTCCATGCTTTGCCACTTGGAAAGGAGCCTCTTGACTGCTTTCCATAGAGACAACCTTCACACAACTCAAGCTCTCCAGGTCTTGGTAACCCTTGCACCATTTCCTTGAAGTGCAGAAGTTTCAGCCCTTGCATATTCAAATGCCCATATCTCAGATGCCATAATTTAGCATCATCATCACCCTTGACTGTCAAAACTCTTCCCACTTGTCTTTTTCAGATCAAGAGGGAACATTTTGTTCTTTCCCATCTCAATCTTGGCTATGACCTCCTTAGATTTTCTATCACTTATTGTGCAGGACTCATCCTCAAACACTAAAGAGTAGCTAGAGTTTACAAGCTGACTGACACTAAGCAGGTTATGCGCCAGTTTAGGTACAAACTGCACATCATATAGAAGCTTAGTGTTGCCTTGCTCAGTAGTAATAGCAATTGTACCTCTACCTTCCACATCAAGCTGTTTTCCATCACCAAGTCTGACTGAGCTCTTTGCAGTATGATCTAACTCCCTGAACAAAGATTTGGCACTTGACATATGGTTTGAACAACCACTATCAATATACCACACACCATTCTCACCAATTTGACTGGTAGTGTTCTGGGCTAAGAATAGCTTCTCTTCATGCTCCACAAAGTTTGATTTGGAACCTTCCTTATGCTCATCTTCTTCTTTCTTCCAACAATTAACTTCCTTATGACCAGGTTTTTTGCAGTAATAACACTTGAGAGGACTTTTATGAGTTTGAGAAGTTTGGTCTCTTCCCTCATTGTTTTGACCTCTCCCACGACCTCTGCCCCTTGAACCACCTCTACCTCTGCCTCTGCCTGCACTTGGTTGAGACCTTTGTTGGTTTGAGGGTTCACCTTTTGCTTGAAATGCCTTTTCATCTTTCTGATCCTCATCTTTACTTAACCTCTCTCCATGAGCTTCAAGTGTACCTTTCAGCTCCTCAAATGTATAGGTTTCTAGGTCTTTTGACTCCTCAATTGCTGCAACAACATGCTCATACCTTTTTGTGAGACTCCTGAGAGTCTTACTAGTAACTTGAGTAGACTTAACATCTTCACCAAGAATTTTCATCTCCTGAACCAAACCTGACACCCTTGATATGTAGTCAGGAATTGATTCCTTTTGCTTCATATGCAGATTTTCAAATTCTCTTCTCAGGGACTGCAAACGAATAGCAATGACCTTTTTATCCCCTACATACTCTTGATTAAGAATTTTCCATGCTTCTTTTGCTGTAGAAGCTGCTGCAATGCGTGGAAATATAGCATCATCCAAGGATTGTTGGATAATGTACAAGGCCTTTGCATCCTTCTTCCTTTTCTCCCTTAAGTTCTGATCTGGATCTTCAGTGCCATTATCTTCAAAGCCATTCTCCACACAGCTCCATAGCTCTTGCGATTTGAAAAGAGTTTTCATTTTTAGACTCCAAAAATGAAAATTCACCCCTTTGAAGATAGGTAACTGGTTCAAAGAACTTCCACTCCCATTGTTGTTTTGCATGGTGATGATTTCTTCCTCAGATGGTGTTTTACTCTCACGAAAACACTCAAGACTGCCCAAGGAAAGATTCCTTATGGCTCTGATACCAAATGTTAATTTAACTAAGGAGAAAAGTAGGAATGGATGCAATATTCACTCTATATTAATCTGAGAATAAACGAGGGCTATAAATAGCCATTACATAAGCTTTGAACTAACATGATCTCCACTAACAATGTGGCAGTAAATGTTGCTAAAAGAAAGGAAATACTTGGCTGAGAATAAATGAAATAACAGCCATAACAACATGCATGCTTTACGTCCTAAAAATGAGGTAACTAACTAAATACTTATTCAAATATTAATGCATGGACTTTTATGTAATTTCAGGCTTGATCATATTCAACAAATATAACCTCAACGCACCCAATAGGGTACAACATTATTTCCCAAAATTCTATTGTTTGTATAATGAGGGGCTGCACGTACCATACTATGGTGCAAACAGGTTGGGCAGTTCAGTCCTGAATCATCAAAGGGTGATGTTGACCCTATAAGACCAACATATAAGAGTATACCTCGTATATATTATATGAATATGATGACATGATCATCCAATAAAGTTAATAATTACATAAATAAATAGAGCAAGCTATTTGCCAAAAATAAATAAATAAAGCAGGCCAAGGGCCACGGCCGGTTGCCGTATATATTGGGCATATGCGTTTGACGTGAGAATAAAACTGGTGTTTTAAGTCTCGCACCCAGAGTGTGTGAAGGGTGAAAGAATATAACTTGCCGTACTCTCTTTTCTTTCTCCTCTGTCTCTTCCACTAACTTAAAAAAAAAAGTTAGAAAACTGCTCTCATCTCCAGACAAATTCATTTTGTTGGTCGACAAGGGAATTTTATTTGGATTAGGGATCGGATCAGATCGGATGGATGGGGATAGAGGAAGAACGGCAGACATCGTAGAAGAGAATAATAATAATAATGCTTCTGGAGATGATCAGCCAACCGTTGACTGGAGGGGAAGACCTGCAAATCCTAGTAAACATGGTGGAATGCCTGCTGCTGCCTTTGTTCTTGGTCAACACTTTCTCTCCTCTTCTTCATCTTCTTTTTTCATTTACTACTAGCACACTTTTGAAGGAGAGTCTTGGCCCATCGATCAGTTATACTGTGATTGAAAGATCACGATCGAGTTTAAGTCGTAAGAGCGATGTCTAGCTTGTTAAAAAATAATTATCATGGAAAGGCTTGGATTCCATTTAATTTCTCAAAGCATAGGAAATTAAAGAGTAGTCATTAAATTAAAACCCCCTTTTGAATTCCTTTTTAGTCCCTTTGTAGTATAGGAAATTCTAACTAGATAAAGATTACAATTTGATATGCTTTCTACGTTCTTTTTTAGTTGCAACGGTCAACATTTCACATTTATCAACGCACGTCTTTGACCGTAATTATATCTTAATTCTATTAGTAAAAAAATATCGAAAATCAGATTTTGAAAATTTGTAATGAGATGAATTGAACAATATTTTTTTATTTTTATTTTCATAAAATAATAGTGTAAAATGTAATCAAAGTAGATCATGTGAATAGTGTAAAATTCAACATGATGCGATTAAAACGAAATAGATGATAATATAATTCTTCAAATAATACATACCATTGTTTTTTACCTTTTTAATGAAAATATATATATGTATACTTCATCCGTCCCTAAATAAACATTTCACTTTCCTTTTCGGTTCATCCCTTACAAATATCCCCTTTCCTTATTTTGTAAACAAAACAATGTCAAACTGTGTTATATCAGTGCCAAAGATTACCATTGTCTTAAATTCTGTGTAATTCAAAGGGATACTTTTAAATAGGGATGAAGGGGTTGGACTTTTGATTTAGAAAATTAGACATTGACTACTTTTATTGCTTCTAAATTAAAGATTGCATGAATGACTAGTACACTTTTCTATTTTGTTTCGCTCCAAAATTATCACACATTTTTTAAAAGAAAGCATGCATTATAGGGTTCATATGGCTCACAATTTCCTTTTCTTCTTTATGTTTTGTTAGAGTCAATTTTTCTTTCTTATTTGTGGAAGGAGGCAGTACGGTCTATGTATATTATATTATGGGAAAATCACATATATGGTCCCTCAGTCATCCACGAAATTAAAATTTCAGACCCGTATTTCTGAGATTGTAAATGTCACCTCTCAATTATCCAAATTATTGTAAATGTGATCCTTTAAGCGGTGAAATGTACTCTCGTCCACATTGTATATTTCACCCCCAAAAGGACCAAATTTACCACATTTTGGACAATTGAGAGGTGACATTTACAATCTCATAAATACAGGTCTGAGATTTTAATTTCGTGGATAACTGAGGGAGCATATATGCGATTTTCCCTTATATTATCATATATACTCTTTTCACCAAATATTACTTATGTCACACAAGCTTTCTTTTGGACACTCAAGCTTTCTTTATTATATCTAATACGAAGTATTACTTACCAAATGTTTGTCATAACTAAATTCGGTCAAATTTTGTAATCTTTTTTTAATGTAGTATGTATCTAAACACATAAATGTTGGTAGCACAAAGCTAACATTTAGGTATTGTAGATCGATCAGCAGGATATAAAATCAAACAACTTAATTAATCTCAGTAAGACAATAAGTAATTTGAAAAGAAATAGCTTAAATTAGTGTATTTATTACATAAAAACACACGTGTGTATGTACATACATGCCATAATTAAATAAAATGCCATGCAGTATGATGATGATGCATGTATGTTGAATTATGTGTACGTAAATATAAATATAATGAAATGTGTGTATGTGATTTATGATTTGTGAAGTAAAGGGGTGCAAGGATTTGAGATAATGGGAATAGGAGCGGTTGGGAACAATTTGATAACGTACGCGATGAAAGAGATGCACTTTTCGCTGTCAAGATCAGCAAACATCGTGACAAACTTTGTTGGGACTGTCTTCATCTTAGCCCTCCTCGGTGGCTTCCTCTCTGATTCTTATCTCGGTTGCTTCTGGACCATGCTCATCTTTGCCTTTCTCGAGCTCTCTGTATGCATCCTACTATCTCTTCCTTCATTCATTAACAACTTGTTTGTATACCATTTCATCCATTAGATCTGTTTAAGTCTAGTTTGATCTGGTAATTAAATGTCCGGTCTCTGTGTATTTTATGACTGTCTAAGTCTGATCCGATTCATTTAAGTCTGATCTGGCTGATCTGGGATTGAAAAACCAAAATATCCTTAGTTATATACATGCATTACCAGGCCTCATTGGTCAAATTCAACCATTGACTAAGAGAAAATATGGGGTTCGAAAAATAGAATTATCGGATTCATATAATAATTTTTGGAAAGAAAAAATGACACATATATTACCAATAGAATTCTACCAGATAAAAATATGACTAGTTATGTTTTTGAAAAAAAAATGACTAGTCACTGTGTACCGGTCACTGTGAACTAACCACTATAGTGTATTTTATAACTTATGACAAATCACTGTAGATGATGACTCACTATAAACTAGTTACCAAATACGGAGTATGTCACTTTCTTGGAAAATTTTAAAATAAGTCATATTGTTATCTTTTGAATTTAATTTAGTAATATTAATGAAAAAAGGCCTTTTGGAAATATAAACTTTAATCAGTAGTACTAATATACGTAGTATAATTCTTCCATCTCGCAATAAAGTTCACAGTTTAACTGTCAATAAGTATGATTTTATTTGGCACAACTATCTGAAAAGATGTTTTTCTAAGCTTTTTTGTAAGTGTGCCTTAGGTAGGAATAACTTCGTACATTCAAGTTTTTGTACTATTTAAAAAATGTCTAAAAGCTTTTAGTTATATAGTTATATGTTTGGCCCAATAAATTTTTAAAGTTTTTAAAGATCTTTCTTTAAAAGTTACATTGAGTAGATTCTGAGAAAAAATATGTAGCTTTTAACATTAAATTAGACATAACATGTTGCTATATCAAATAAAATTAAATCAAACAGTCAATTTTTATCAAATAACTACAATTTTTTCTTTTAATATCTGTCAATCATAATAAGTTTATAATTACCTACGACTCCATAAAAGTATCAATTTAGCCAATTGTAATGGTTTGGTTCAAGTTGATTGTTTGATTGAGTTATGTTTGTATAAATTATCTTAATAATGTTAAACGCTACAAACTTTTTCTCAGATGTTATTAAGTATAACTTCTAAAAAAAGTTGTAAAAAATTATTGTACTAATCATACAACTAAGAATTTTTAGAAACTTTTTAAATAATACTACCTCTGTCCCAAATTATTTGAAACATCGACTTTTCTTGATCAAACAATTTCATTTTATCATCAAAGAATTAATTCTATTTTCTGTTTATGTCTACAGGGTTTCATATTATTGTCGGTCCAAGCTCATCTACCACAGCTGAAACCACCAAAATGCAACATGTTGGGATTGGATGGTGATAAATTATTGTGTGAGGAGGCAAAGGGGTTGAAATCATTGATATTTTTTGTGGCACTTTATTTGGTGGCATTGGGGAGTGGATGTGTGAAACCAAACATGATAGCCCACGGAGCTGACCAGTTCAACCAAACACAGCCTAAGCTTCTAGCTAGGTACTTCAATGCTGCTTATTTTGCCTTCTCCGTCGGCCAGCTAATTGCCCTTACGCTCCTTGTTTGGGTGCAAACTCACTCCGGCATGGACGTCGGTTTCGGCGTCTCCGCCGCGGCCATGGCCATGGCTTTGATTTGCTTGGTGTCTGGCCTCCTTCGCTATAGGAACAAGCCTCCCCAAGGAAGCATTTTCACTCCAATTGCTCAAGTATTAATTCACATCACTGATTACTTCTAATTTGCTCCACAAATCATATATCTTAGACATTTTGATTTTTTGAGTCACAAATGATGATGAACATCTATCCTCGAAACTAAAGTGAGAAGAAAAATTTTCGGACGAAGTATTGTATTACCCTAAATAGGACTAAAAATATTTGTATATTCCAAAATAGGATTGTCATGTTTTTATTTCCAAAATAGGACTAATTACTGCCATATTTTGGCAGTACCTGACTTTAAACATGACAGTATTTTCCAAACATGACAGTAATTACTCCTATTTTGGGAATAATAGCATGACAGTCCTATTTTGAAATTTTCAAACTTATTTACTCATATTTCGGGAACTTTCCCATTATTTTAAAATGTGAAAATACACTTGACTAATTCTTTTTATGTTTTTAAAATATTAATATATTTAAATCTAATAAAACGAATACAGTTGTAGATATTAAAAAAGGGACATTTCAACAAATAAGAGCAAAACGTACGAATTTTCCAAAACTAAGACCGAAAATTAGGGTAAGACTCAACTACATCTGCATTGACCACAATACCCTTACTTTTAGAAAATAACAGACATTAAATAGACAATAAATAGACCATAAGTAGACAATAAATAAACAATAAATTCTAGAAAACAATCAATCTAATGTCCCGATCCGCAAGGACGAGGGGAGATTAAGAAGGGTCTGGTGCGCCGCCGCCGCTGCACTTGGGTCTTCTCTGCCATGCCTCATCTCATCATCGAAGATATCTCCGACAAAGAAGAAGAACGTAGTGCGCAGCAACGAAGAAAACGAAGGCAAATTTCCCTAGCCCCAATTCCCCCAAATAGAGCGGCGGTGGATCTGCAACAGCGGCGCAGACGCTGCCAGACGGCGGGGGCGAGGCGGAGGCTGCCGCTAGAGATGAGAAGCGGACGTCCCTGGTGGGTGCAGGAGGTGAGGCGGAGGTGCCTCTTGTGAGGTCGCAGGTCGATGGTAGAATATCCATGTGCAGCGGCGGATGGTAAGGTGGAGGGTAAAAATGAAAAAAAAATTAAGGTTCCTAAAGCTAGAACTAAATAAAGCATACGGATGGAAAAAAAACTTAGTAGGTCCTAATCATGTAAACTTTGTATGATTTAGTCCTATTTTGCACAATTTTCTCATTAAAAAAACCCTTGAAATCTAAAATGTCCAATTAATATGGTGACATAAGGATTGTTCACCTTACTTAGCTTTTTCTTTTATTATTATGGAGGTGTTTGAAATTGATTCCTCTTTTGCCTCTTTTTTAAAGCAGAAACAGAATCTGAATCAGTTTTCAGAAGTTGGTCTTCCTCAGCTTCTAAAAAACAGTTTGTAGGAGTGAATTAGAGCAACAGAAGTACTTCTACACTTTCACTCAAACACTCTAACTTCTGTTTGTGCTCTCTGAAGAAGTAAAAGCGATTTTAAGAATAAGATCCAAACACCTCATAGTCTTCCTCGTTACTTTTCTTTCTAGGAAATAAAGCGCAATTTAAGTAAAGGTGTTTTTTAGTGCTGCAATTATGCAAATAAAATATCGTAACGTTGTGCTTTGAGACAATAGAATAAGTGACCTTACATGAAACCAGTTTTCACGGAACTGCGTCATGCACCTTTAATAAAAGACATAATTACTTCCACTTCACCTAATTTATAGAAAAGCAAAAATAAGAGTGCATGACTTTCTATTAACTAGAAAAACTGTTACGTTTAGAAAAGGTTTCTAAGGGGCTGATGAGACTCATGACACGCTCTATCCGAGGATACAAATGACTCAGAAACTACCGACTATTTTTTGAAAGAAATATACTTAATTCTCATTAATCAAATCATTGTTAAATACATAAATAATAAAAGTAGGAGGAATAACTGTAAACCGAATCCGGCAACCAGACACAAATGACTTAGAAACTATTACTATCCTCCGTATCTCATTAATTACAACATTGGAATATATACATTATTCATGTACTTTACTTTGACTACATTTTATTTATTAATGTATGTGAATTATTTTTTTTTAAAAAATTTGTTAAATTCGTCTCATTACTAAGTTTTATAATCTGGTTTTTATTTTATTTTTACTAATACAGAATTAAATATAATGACGATCAAAATTATGCGTTGGCAAACGTGAAATGTTGACTGTTGCAACTAAAAAAAGACAAGGAAGTACATTCTAATTTAGCGTTATTTTACTTTTCAATGTATTAGAAAAAAAAAGAAAAACTTTTACGTTTGCTGCCATAAAATTGGTTTCATTTCCAAACAAGAATAGATCACACCAAATTAATATATACATCTCCATCCCATTTTTGTTAGCCAACATTGATTTTTTCATGGTAAACTTTGATCAACCGTTTTAACTAATAAATACATTCATATGTAAATATATCACTCAAAGTTTAGCATCATTGATTTGAAAAATCAATATAATTTTGGCTAATTAAAATAGCTAGGAGGGAGGTAGTATATCAAACCAAACTGGATTAGATAAGAGTTTGACAATGTTAAAATACACACAGAACAAACATTTATCATATCAGATCTGATCATAGTTCCACAATGTTAAAATACTCATAAAATAAATATCTACCGAATCAGATCGAAACAAACTTATACGGATAAAAAAAATCAACCCTAAATCATACCTAATCCAATGGTCATCACATGTCTTGTCCCTAATAACATTAACCGATGAGTTAAATGGTGAAATATTTCATCATGGTTAATGGTTACAATTATTTAAAACAATGTGGTTACTATACGTGGCAGTCCATACTACATTTGGAATGGATTTTTTCAAATACGGAGTATTTTTTTTGGAAGATATACGGAGTATTAAATATACTGTATTAACCATAAACGGCTTAGATCATCTAATTAGACAAAAATCTAACTAAAATAGCTGCTTCTTAATTTCTCTTGTTACTTTAATTAATACTGTCTCCTCCATTCTTTATTAGTTGTCTCGTATTTCTCGCATTTCTTTTTGAAACGTTTTCAATTATTTATCCATATTTTCTTTTTTTGGTATGTTTTTTAATTAGAATACTCTCTCCGCGCCCCCTAATATTGGGACGTAAGAGAGTGATGTGGTTTTTAAGAAAAGTAGAATTATATGGTTGATAATGAGTTGATAAATTGAGAATAAGGTAAGAATGAATTAGAGCTACACAAATGTTACCTAATATGGTGCGAGACAATAATAGGGGGCATCCAAATATGAAAAAATTGAACAATAATAGGGATATTACCCTAAATAGGACTAAAATAGTTTGAAAATTCCAAAATAGGACTGCCATGTTTTTATTCCCAAAATAGGACTAATTACTGCCATGTTTTGGTAGTACCAGACTTCAAACATGTTAGTATTTTCTAAACATGGCAGTAATTAGTTCTATTTTGGGAATAAAAAATATGACAATCCTATTTTGAAATTTTGAAACTGTTTTAGTCCTATTTCGAGAACATTCCCCTACTTTTATTACCCTTACCCCTTTCTCTTTCTTACTTTATCATTTAAACACAAATCACTACATTTTTTACATTACCCGTATTATTTTCTCATAAACCCGTACCAAAGTCTATGGGGACACTTAATAAAGAACGGAGGGAGTATTCATTACAAAAAATTACGGGATTGACACACAACTTGACACAGATTTGCCGATTTTTCGTACCAAATAGCTTGTGCCAAAGTATTTTTGGCACAGATTTGGCATATCTCTGCCAAAATCTCTGTCAATCTCATGTTTTTTTGTAGTGATTTAAGCAGGTAGTATTAGCTTTTTATTTGTTTTTGCTACCACTATTATTTGTTACTTAGTACTAAGCACATAATATTAGCTTTTTAATATTTTTTTGTTTTGTCATAAGGTTTTTGTGGCAGCCTTTTTGAAGAGGAAACGTGCATTTCCATGTGATCCACGAATGGTTCATGGGAGCCGCGCTACCACGTCTGATGATGTTGTCATTATTCGTTATTCTAATGCATTCAGGTACGTATACACACTAGTCCAATGGAGTTTATGCCATAATAATACTTTATCATTAGGCTCTTAAAATTATGTCACATTTCCATTTTTAATTGCTCCCAAAATTTTTATCATTTTTCATTTTAATCACTTAATTTGAGGTTCATATCATTTGTCTTCGTTTACACAAATCTCAATCACATAGGCCTGTTCATCTCACCTGTTTCATGAACCGGAACCAAAATCAAAACTAGCGATTTTGAATTCAAATTATTAACTTTGTATTTTGAATTCTAAAGTCAAACATTATTAATTTTGATTGTTACTAAGTTTAAATAAATATTGTTGAATTTATGAAGTGATAATTTAATATAGATTTTTTAGACACTAAATTTTAATAATAATGGTCAACGATCAATCAAGTTTGACCATCAAAGTAAACACAGGTTGAGAGTTTAGTTTAGGCAAATTCCCTAAGTAGGAGTAATTTCTTTTGACGTTGTCAAGCTTTAAACATGACAATTTTTTTCAAACCTGACGAAAATCATTTATATTTAAGGAATAAAACATGAAAGTCTCATTTTGGAATTTTCAAAAACTTTTTACCCTGAATAGGGCAATTTTTATTTCGTTTGGGGAGAAACAAAGTAACAAATTCATGACTTTTGGTTGTGCTCGTTAATAATTTTATAATTTTTTAAGTTGCAAATTTAGCCCTGTAACTATTATTTTTTGAAATTTAAGGACTTTTGCATTGGAAAAGTACACTTTTCTGCGCAAATATATACATTACGGTGGAAGTCCTTAAATCGCAAATATTTATTAGTTATATGACTAAATATGCAACCCACTTAAGTTACAAGACTAATAACGGGCACAATCTAAAGTTATGGGACTAAAATCGTAATTCTCCCTAGTATATATGTTTTGAAATCATAGTTGATATTTGATAGTTACCAAATTTAACATGTTAGCTTTTTCTTTATTCCATTTCTAGGAAATTTCTTGAGAAGGTATGTTAATTATAAAAAAGTTCTTTTTTTATAGAGAAATTTAATTCACTAATACTTCGTATTTGTGATTGCATCACATAAAAGTACTAGCTATTTATTGTTAATTATATATACTCTACATCTGTATGGATAATATTTTTTGAAAATGGTCTTATGTTTGATGATATAATATTTTTTTTTTCCTAACCGAAATTATGGGTCTGTCCCTGAATAAGATATCATTAAAATTTCCATCATATTTTGGGCATTCTCAACTTAAATTAATTTATATTGTTTATTCACTCATTAGGTGGTTAGACAAGGCATGTATTAAAAGCGAGGAAGGATTAATTAAGGAGAGTCCATGGAGGGTTTGTAGTATGAGACAAGTGGATCAAGTGAAGATACTCATTTCAGTCATCCCAATATTTGCATGCACCATTGTGTTCAACACTATTCTTGCACAGCTCCAAACATTCTCTGTCCAACAAGCAAGCACCATGAACACTAAACTCACCAAAACCTTCAGCATCCCCCCTGCTTCTCTTCAAGCCATCCCTTACATCCTCCTCATCTTTCTCGTCCCTCTCTATGACTTTGTCTTCGTTCCCTTGGCCCGAAAATTCAAGGGTCAGGGCAACAAATACGACATCACGCCCTTACAGCGAATAGGTCTTGGCCTATTCTTCGCGACATTCTCCATGGTAGCTGCTGCTATCATGGAGAACAAGAGGAGAAACTCATCGTCCCATCGCGTCATCATGTCTGTCTTTTGGATAACTCCACAGTACGTAATCTTCGGAGTATCTGAAATGCTAACAGCAGTGGGGCTGATCGAGTTCTTCTACAAGCAGCCATTGAAGGGCATGCAAGCGTTCTCAACCGCCATAACCTACTGCTCTTATTCCTTTGGTTTTTACCTCAGCTCGGTGCTGGTGTCTGTTGTGAATAAGGTCACTGGGCGTTCCTCATCCCATGCTAGCGGTTGGCTGGCCGACAATGATCTAAATAAGGATAGGCTTGATCTCTTCTACTGGATATTGGCAGCAATAAGCTTCCTTAACTTCCTCAACTATCTATTATGGTCTACATGGTACTTGCGAGTTCGGTCATCATCGTCTTCCTCACCAACAGTCTTGTTTCATGAGCATGAAGACTTCAACTCTAATAATAAGAAAAGCATTGTAGGTTGGAATGATGTGTAGAGTGTGTGTTCCCAAGTATAAATTGCTAAGCCATATTTGATCTGTATAATAGTGATATGTGTATGTGTTAATGTGTTATTATAGGGTACATACTAGTGTATATTTGCATGTGGTAGTAGTGCAGTATGATATGTATAAAATAGTACATTCAGTTCTTCTTTCCACTTCTTTTTATTCTAGCTACTAGTCATATCGTATATAGTTTCATTCTTTGTAAATGGTAACACTAGTTATTGCAATATATACTAGCTACTACACATATATATACATGAGTGTGTATGTTTTGATCATATATTGAGTAATTTATACAAAAAGTTAATCTTCTCTTGCGAAAAGCAAATTAAATTAAAGAAATTGCCCAAAATGAGACTAAAACATTATCTAAATTTCACAATAGGACTTCAAGTTTATTTAGCGATGGACTAAATCGGCCAGGCCCGACTCGGAATCGGCCCGGCCCGTTACTGTTTGGGCCCGGATCGGACCGGGACCGGTTGGCCGGTTCCGGGCTTTTAGCCCGTTTGGGCGGGCCGGGCTCGGGCCCAACTTTTGGTGAACCGACCCGGTTCAATTTTTTTTCCCACTTTTTTTTGCTTTTCTAGGTTAGGGTTGGGTGTTTTTTTTTGGGGGGGGGGGGGGGGGGGTTTGGGGGGTGAGGGTGAAGAGGGGGGGGGGGTCGGGTGTTAATTAGAAACCAAAAAAAAATTGAACTTGACCCGGGCCCGGTCCGGCCCGGCCCGGTTAGGCCCGGACCCGGTATCAACCCGGGCCGGTTCCGGGCCCAACATTTTGCAAAAAAAGTCCACCTGGGCCCGGCCCTGAACCGGAACCGGACCGGCCCGGGTCCATCCCTAAGTTTATTATTCCTTAAATAGGACTAAAGATTACATTTTTACGCCTATTAATCTAACCGACTCATATCCCCTGCCTTCTGCAATCAATTGCCGCAACTTATCTATCTCTTATCTCTACCATGGCCGCAATTCGTTTCTCTACATGGAGGTCTGCATTTTTAAAAAATGTCACTTTTATGTCATTACAATATTTGAAAATGCCATATTGAGAATGACAGGTTTCTATACGAAATTTTCATTATTGTGTCATTATGCATATTAAGTGGCATTCTCGCATATGAAGTGACATTCCTCGTGGACGTCTGCACAAACTCACATGAGGGTAGATCTTTGTTGAAGAAAGATGGCAGTGTACTCGTTGAGGCATGACAGTGGTGGCGGACTTGATGGATGGTGGCAGAGGCACCATTGGTGGAGGCGTCGATCTTGAAGGCCTGGAAACGCACAGGGCACACTTGCGCAATATAGGGGAATCGCACCTGCACAGCACAGGCTCCTGTGAACTCCTAATATTTTCATTAAGGGTATTTTTGTCAAATTAGCTTTTTTAGTCATATTTTTGTCGAAAAAAACATAGTAGTCTTTTTTTACAATTTCAGCTTCTTTTAGTTATATTTAGGGAATTCTCTCAAGAAATTGCCCAAAATGGGACTAAAACATTGTCTAAATTCCATAATAGGATTATAGGAACTCAAGTTTATTATTCCCTAAATAGGACTAAAGATTACATTTTACCCCTATTAACCTAACCGACTCATATCCCCTGCCATCTGAAATCAATCGCCGCAACTCATCTATCTCCTATCTCTACCATGGCCGCAATTCTTTTCTCTACCATGGCTGCACTCCGCCATCGATCTTAGCCTCACAGTACTGTAGCTCCACCGCCAAGACAGGTATGTAGTCCTCCTCCTCCGCTTCCTCTTCTTCTTCTTCCTCCCCTTCCTCTTCATCTTCCTCTTCCTGTTCCTCTTCCTCTTCTTCTTCTTCTTCTTCTTCTTCTTCTTCTTCTTCTTCTTCTTCTTCTTCTTCTTCTTCTTCTTCTTCTTCTTCTTCTTCTTCTTCTTCTTCTTCTTCTTCTTCTTCTTCTTCTTCTTCTTCTTCTTCTTCTTCTTCTTCTTCTTCTTCTTCTTCTTCTTCTTCTTCCTCCTAGTTCTCTACTTTTTCTTTTAGTTTTTTATCAATAAAATTTTAAATAAAATTTTAAATTTTGAAAGTTTCAAATGAAGATATATCTAAACTTGAATTTCTTGTTATCAATTTTGATAATTTGAATCTCAAAATTTCGTGACTAATGATTCCAGAAAATGACTCTTTTTGAATAAAAGAATGTCATAATTATTGGGTCTTTTTAAAAAATGTCACTTTTATGTCATTACAATATTTGAAAATGCCATATTGAGAATGACATGTTTCTATACGAAATTTTCATTATTGTGTCATTATTGGTCATTTTTAAAAAATGTCACTTTTATGTCATTACAGTATTTGAAAATGTCATATTGAGAATATCATGTTTCTATATGAAATTGTCATTATTGTGTTATTATGCATATTAAGTGGCAATCAGGCATATGAAGTGGCATTCCTCATGGAGGTCTACACAAACTCACTGGAGGGTATATCTTTGTTGAAGAATGATGACAGCGTACTAGTTGAGGCATGATAGTGGTGGCGGACTTGATGGATTGTGGCAGAGGCAACATTGGTGGAGGCGTTGATCTTGGAGGCCTGGAAACGCACAGGGCACACTTCCGCAGCACAGGGCAATCGCACCTGCGCAACATAGGCTCCTACGAACTCCTAATTTTTTCATTTTTCATTAAGGGTATTTTTGTCAAACTAGCTTTTTAGTCCTATTTTTGTCCAAAAAAACATAGTAGTATTATTTTTGCTATTTCACCATCTTTTTGTCATATTTAGGGAATTCTCTCATTAAGCTAATGTGTAGCATCTGTTAAATCTGGGGAGTTGGGAAACTGTTTTAGAAAAACTGGCGGATTTCTCAGAGTATCGTGTGATCACTTTCCGAATCTAATATTTCGACCCTATGTCTGGATTACACGAAATTTAGATTATGGGGATAATCACTCTGAGAGACAGTCTAAAACTGAGGCACCAATATATAGACCACGAACTAGCAGTTTTAGTAGAACTCGAATTCTTCTGATTACCAAAGAGATAAGGCCAATCAGTTAGAGTTTTACTCTAACAGAAAGTCATTCTATTAAATAATTAATATGGACATGTTTATCCGAAAATAAATTTCCATATTTATTTCTTTAATAAAATAAAATTTTGGTCCGGGGCACTGCCCCGAGCCCCGCGAGGGCGGCCTCCCTCGACCCCGGTCACTGACCGGGCAACGAGACCCCCGCCAGGGGCGCTGCCCCTTGGACCCCGCAAGGGGGCGCAGCCCCCTTGACCCCCGCCATTTAATCAAACCAAGTTTAAATTTAATTTCGTACAAGTGTGCACTACGCACCTCCTAACTTGTCTAAAATTAAACTTGAACTCCATTGGTAATCTGTAAATTCCATTACACTAAAATGAACCTGATGATACTAAAATCACCAACAATCCTCCCCCATTTTAGTGTAACCATGAATCTACATAAACAAGAATAAGAGACAACCAAACTTATGCATACATTAAAATATCGAAACGATTGAATTTTCATATTAGTACATTACACATTCCAAATACTCGAGAATCAGGGTGTTCTAAGAATTGAACCCTTCAACCCATTTGAATACATGAAGATAACATACACATAAGTTCAAATAAACAACTAGTTGTTTATATTAAGTATGAGCTTTCCTCATTGAATTCAACCTCTAATATTATATTAGATGGGAATTGGGTGTCTCATCATTATGGAATTAAATGGACTTTAAACCCATCCCAATCGCAGACTTGTGCACTAAGTCCCTGGCCAGACCTTTAGTTAAATGATCCGCCAAATTCTGTTGTGATTTCACATACTCAACAGAAATTACACCCTTTTATGATTAAGTCCCTAATCATACTGTGTCTAACACCTAAGTGTCTAGACTTCCCATTATACACTTGGCTATAGGCCTTAGCCAACGTGGCAACACTATCACAACGAATAGAAATGGATGCAATTGGCTTTGTCCATAATGGAATCTCAAAAACCAAATCCCTTAGCCATTCTGCCTCTTTACCGGCAGCAGCTAAAGCAACAAATTCAGACTCCATTGTTGAATTTGTAATGCAAGTTTGCTTCTTAGAGGCCCAAGAAATGGCACCTCCCCCAAGCAAGAATACCCAACCACTTGTAGAAGAATGATCTTCTAGGTGATTTATCCAGCTTGCATCAGTATATCCTTCTAGAACCGAGGGATATCCAAGATAACATATTCCATAATTCATGGTTCCTTTTAAGTATTTGAATACTCTCTGAATTGCTTGCCAATGTTGAGTACTAGGATTGCTAGTATACCGACTCAACCTCCCAACCGCGTAGGCGATATCCGGACGAGTGCTTGTCATGGCATACATCAAGCATCCTATAGCTTGAGAGTATTCTAATTGTGATACTGTCTTGCCTTTGTTTGGCATTAATTTGACACTAGGGTCCATGGGAGTACTCACGGGAGAACATTCACTATAATTAAATTTCTTGAGAATTTTCTCAACATAGTGTGCTTGCGTCATAGCAATTCCTTTGTTCAACCGCTTAATCCTAATACCAAGGATTACATCAGCCTCCCCCATATCTTTCATGGAAAACCTTGATGACAATAAACTTTTCGTTTCATCAACTTGAAGTTGATCAGTGCCAAAAATCAGCATGTCATCAACATATAGGCAAATTATCACACCACACTCGGTTGAATCAAACCGACTGTAAACACATTTATCAGATTGGTTTAGCTTAAAACCACTTGATAAAATAACTTCATCAAACTTTTGATGCCATTTTTTTGGTGCTTGTTTCAGACCATACAAAGATTTGACAAGCTTACACACTTTATGCTCATTACCGGGCATAACAAAACCTTCTGGTTGGTTCATGTAAATTTCCTCATCAAGCTCTCCATTTAAGAAGGCTGTTTTGACATCCATTTGATGGACAACCAGATTGTGGATGGCTGCCAAAGCAACCAACAATCTAATGGTAGATATCCGGACCACTGGTGCATATGTGTCAAAATAATCAATACCTGGTTTTTCTTTAAACCCTTGTATTACCAAATGTGCTTTGAACTTATCTATAGTTCCATCTACCTTCATCTTCTTTTTGAAGATCCATTTGCAACCCAAAGGTTTAGAACCTGGTGGCAAATCACATAGCACCCATGTATTGTTTTCTAAAATTGATGATAATTCATCATCAATTGCCTCTTTCCAAAAGGTCACATCTCGGGATTCCATGGCCTCTTTAAAGGTCTTTGGATCTCCTTCAATAC